ACCCCAATCCTAACTGCGGGCCCAGCTCTGTAGCTCCTGCCGTGCCTCTGCTGTGATCATTTCTATGGTTTGGTTTTGCTTTATAATTTAGCTGAGATTTTTCAAGCTGATTCATGCGGGCCACAAAGCAAAGGTCTGAGTGTGTGTGTGTGTGTGTGTCTGTGCATGTCTGTATATGTGTTGGCATAAATCATGGCCAGACTGGTTGCCTGGCTGGTTGGCATATTTGTTGTGCGATATTTTTATTTTATTACCTTTTTACCTAGACCAATGCAGCCATAACCCCAACCACTGCCGCAATCTGTGTATGAGAGTGTGTGTGTGTGTCTGTGCGTGTGTGTGTGTGTGTGTGTTGGCCGCAGCATATTGTGCATAAATCTTTAATATTAAGTAAACATATAAATATGAATTTATAGCCAGAGGCGCATTAGTTGATACGAGGTAAATATAAAGTTGAGCTTACGCCTAAGCTAAATCAAAATAAGATTTGTGGAAAGGAGCTGCGGGTGCTGTTGAAAACCGATTTAAGCCAAGAAAAGAAACACAACTCAATCAGTTTGGGGATGCTAGGATGGGTAAAAACAGAAAATTATTAATTGAAATTCATTATGCATGCAAGAAATTGTAAAATACGTGACGCGAATGCAATTAGGATTAAATCAAAGAATAACAATTGAGGGAAAGAAATGCAAATTAGTTAGTTATTAATAATATAATTTTAACAAAAAGTAGCAATAAAAGTATAGTATGTAGATAATATTTGTTGTGTTTATTATCGATTCGTCTGTTATGTGAAATATGCAGGCGAAGAATATTCTAGCTGTACTTAGCTATAGAAGTAGAAAACAATTTATAATTTTTTAAATGCAAAGCAATATTTCTATACAATAGGAATTGAGGACGAATAGCGATTGAAGGACACTTACAGTTCATAGAGGTCGACTGACAAGATGTAATATATGCTATAAATGAGATAATAAAGGCCTAATCCTTCACGAATGATTTTAAGAATATGTAGCGAAGAATTGACAGCTTAGATTGAAGACGACCGTAGTAAATAGTATATATAGTATTGGCTTTTGTGTTGTAGGAATTCTTATTAAAGAAAGATATTTGTTCGGCTTAAAACTGTTTTCTGTTTGTTTCCATGTTTTCGAATATCAATACGGCTTATATTATTGTCTGTCGGCATCTTCGATACATTGTATCCAACAGTGTACAGGAATCCATATTGGTTTTAATTTATTCATGTCTTTTATTACGAATTGTCTGATAGCACGAGGGAGAAAGGGCTGCGAAGAGAGTTTGGCGAACAATGCTCTATTGTAGATGGAAAATATTCGTTACTACAAATGGCCAAAATAATAGCAAATAATAATAATAAAGGCATTGGTAATAATAGTATAATGTTTCAAACCTTACAAAAAAAACATAATAAGCGAATGAAAATAAATTAATTTACTAAACTACACTGCTAATAGAGGCATACAATCAATTACTCAGCATCCCAGTTAACAAATGTGGGTACAGAGGTCCGCATAATAGCTGTTCCACTGTTGTATCGTTTCATCAGTTGGGGACGTTATATTTATGAGTTTTGTATCTTTTCAAAATGCAATCGATCGATGATTTTACAGATTTTAAAAGGAAAGAAAATTATCAAGCTCCGTTTCTTCTAATTCTAAACCGTAGACTACACAAATAGTCCGAAAACTAATTGAAATATTAAATTGAGACGATATTTGCAAGGCACTGTTAAATGAAAATTGTTTTATTCTTAAAAGTCAAACAATTAAATCACTTTTTATTGCATCCTTCTCCTGTTCGAATGAACAGCTAAACTATCTCACTATCATGGCAATTTCAAAAAACTTTCTCACATCCACAATGAGAAAGTTAATTAATAAACAAGCAAGGCTCACAACTCATAAAACTTCATTATAAAAAGTTAAGCTATTTTTGAAGTTGCGCGAGGAAGTTTTCAACTTTTAAAAGCTTCTTACACCTATAAATGCACGCACACACATATACATATATACAGACAATTTATTAATAAACAAGACAACGAAATTAAAGGGTGGGGTTTGAGCTAGAATTGGGTTGTATTTCTAATAAAGGTAGCTAGATGTAGGCAGAAGAGTCCATTTGAACTACTAGGAAGGGAAAAAGGGAAACGATTCAAAAAGTTAAATTGATTCGGAAAACAAAGCGATAAAGTCTGCTGTTTCTATGAGAAAATATGGGCTCCATATTTTGCATTTACTCATTTGATGTGTTGTTAAAAAAAGATTAATTTTGTAAAAAAAAAATTGAATTTATGAATGCTTTCAGATAAAAGAAAAAAGATTAAGACGACATTATTAAATTTAAATTACTTGAACATTTAAACGAAATAAATTAAAATTTAATCTGTAAATGTATGGATGCAATTAATTCTTTCATTATATGTAAAAAAAAACATGAATACACAGTTACATTACAAAGTAAATTGATTCTTATATTATATGTATTTCATGATTTTAACATACTATATAGGAACGATAGCGCCTAGAAGTATTATACCACATATTATAAAATCGTTTAATTAGTTTTGATATATGTGTAAACAACATTTTATTATTAATCAACTAGTATTCGACTACCTCGAAAACCAATAAATTTTTCAAAAATATAAGCATTTTTAAAGCCAATATTTTCTGTCCTTTATAAAGTTCATATCAGATGTTTCTGCCATAAGTTTGAATAAAAGAAAATTATGTAGTTGTGGAAGTAATTAAGATTTGCGTTCATGTACTTGCAGCAGTTGCCACTTAATGGGTAGAAAGACTTGAGTGAGTTGAACCGTGAAGGGCGGCACCAACAATGGTAGCGGTAGCTGGCTGATTGAAGGAGTGTTATAATTCAAAGTAAATTCCACTGCAAGCATACATACTTCAAAAGTCTCTCTATCTCCAGCTACAACTCAGTGTCTGCAGTGTCTGACACAGCCATTAGCTGGCTGGCTGGCTGGCTGGCTGACTGACTGACAAGCAAGTTTCTTGGTGGGAGCTAGTGAGGGAGTGAATGAACAATTACACACATTTGTGCCCTCCAACTAAGGCAATTTTCGCACTGCGGCATTGTTTTTGCGTAACTGTACTTTTGACGCGATTAAAACCACGCTCTCCCTGCCACTCACATATCAACAATGAACAACCAACTACAGCTGACTGACTGCGTTGTTGATGCCGACCTACCCATATGGAATCAACGTCAAACGTCAAACTTTGGCTGCAACCATTAGCGTAGTTTTCCCAACTGCTGAAAAGCGTTTGCACATTTCACAATAAAGCTCAGCAGAAACATTTTGAACAAAAAAAAAAAAAAAATTAAACAATAAAAGGGTTATACAACGCACACTTTTCATTAGCAAACGCAGTCAACGTCAGGTAATAGCTGCGGGCACAGATTTTAGCTTATAAGCGCGAATTTCGAATGCAGGCATTATGAATCTCGTATACCCTACACCCACATATGACATATAGAATAGCCAGGCATAGTAGAAAATGAATAACTACTTCCAATATTATCATAACTAAATATGATCATATTGATAAAGCATACTACCAATCCTTTCTATGGCAGCTAAATAAAACAATGAAGTTTTAAATGATTAATAATAAACTTAGTCTGTGCGTCGATTAGATAAGTCTGTATATCGAATTGGGTTACCTTCACTATTGTAGATTCAGAGATTTTGAAAATCATATAGACAGACAAAATGGACAAACGAACGGATATCCATATACCAATGTTGAATTGTTATCCATGAAGCGAATATTTTGCTAGTTATATGCAGATAAATAAGTCAAGTTCATTTTCCAAGTTTGGTGATCCTAGCGTTTAAAGCTAAACAGATTCCGGGGATCATACAGTCAGACAAATGAACAAACGAACGAATGAAGAGATTCATCTGGCTATATCGAAGCATTTGGTCATGCTGATCAAACTGAGTAACGATATCGTAATAAAATGTTAAACCCCAAACAATTTAGTAATCTTAATAAAATCATTTGATTTTTCTACTAATAAATTTTTTTTCACTGATCGTTCCTATGGCAGCTCTATAGAACCATGAAGTTATTAATGATTTGTCATAAGATTCATCTATACATAATTTAGATAAAAAGATCTACATGCAAAATATGTTTTGTGTTATAACATTTTAAAGGATCTTAAGGATATTGTCAGTCAAATATTTGAGCAGAGGGTAAGCATACTTTTAATATGGGTTCTGATACGCCTCTCAATGTCTGTTACATGCATTAGAAGCCTGTTAATATACCCTTTCAGTAACAAAATAAACAGTGTTCTTAGCTATGAATGATTTACCATAAGCTTCATCTATAAATACATTAGATAAAAAGAGGGTCTTAAGGATCATACAGTCAAACATATGAGCAAAGGTTAAGTATACTCTTAATATGTGATCTAATACGCCTCTCAATGTCTGTTACATGCATTAGAAGCCTGTTAATATACCCTTTCAGTAACAAAATAAACGGTGTTCTTAGACCCTCATGTCACTCAAGAACGAAACGAAATCAAATAAATATAAAATAAAACCACAAGATGATGTCGTCACCATGACGATTCCAAGGCGAACAGCGGACGGGCGGGCGTCTATTTTGTTATTTCGATAAAACCTATTGAGGCGTAACGGGCCCCTAAAGCTCGGAAACGAGAAGCGTTTAGTAGCTGGCAGGCGTTCGAGCTGAGCGGGTAAGCGACTCACACACAAAAATCGCAATGGCTTGAATCGCTGCAAGCTCAGAATCGTAGACCAAGTACAAAGTCTAGGCCAAAGTCAAGTTGCGATTCTTGGCCAGCCTTGTTGCTGTTAATAGTTTCAGGGGTGCAAAAACATATGTGTGTATGTGGTGTGTGTGTGTGTGTGTGAATGAGTGTGATTGTGTGCATTAAATTGTTGTTATTATTGATGACTTCACTTAAACTTACAGCTGGTTTCATTAAAAGGCCACGTTACTACCCGCACACTTGCAAGCTAAACAACAAACAGCAGTATCGTGGTTGTTGTTGTCGCCAACGTAGCTGCCATTGCCATTGCTTGTTGTTGTTGTTGTTCTTGTTATAGTTGTCGCTAAAGCCAGGCAGCAGTTATGGACTCACCTACACCGCCAATTGTCATCGAAGATTCGAACGGTTCAGCAATGGATGCCTGCTTCACGGCATTCGATAAAGACGGGTGCGTATACAACACAACAATTATCAGAAAATAGTCGTTTAAAAATATAAAAAATTTGCAAATATTTAAGATATTTAAAATTTGTCAGTACTGATATCTCTGTTGATTAATTATCGTCTCAAATTATGTAATTACTCAACAAAAACGCAACGCGAGCTACAATTTGACGAATAATATTGTTATTTGTTTAACGTTCAACAAAATGCTCAGCGAAACGAAAAATCAATAAACACAAAAGGCAAAAAAACAACAACAACATCACTCATAAAATATTAACACAACGCGAGTTTTTTCCTGATTTTACACACATATTGAATAATAAACAATAATTGGAAAAGTGTTTAAAAAATATTTACAAAAAAAAAAAAATTAAAATAAAAATAAAATAACAAATCGGTATATTAAATAATCAAAATTAAGTGAATTAACTGCTTCAACAGCAAAGGGAAAAAATTTGCATAATAAATGTGGAAAAATTATTTTAAATGCATTGCAAAAAACGCTCGGTATCTGTCTGTATGTGTGTGAGTGTGTGTGTTAATTGAGCGACATTGAGACGTCGAATGAAAACAAAAATAAACAATCTTCCTTAATTTATTAACGTGAAAATTCCGAAGCCTGCCAACAAGTTTCCATGAAAATTGCCCACATGCATTCATAATTAAAGACCTGGCATAAATAAATTCTAATTGACAGTTTAAGCATTTTATTGCTATTGACGAAGTTTTATCCGCCAATCGTTATAAATAAATTGCAAAGTAAATAAGAGAAAGAGATAGAGGGAAAGGGTTAATGGCAGACATTTCGGAATTAGTAATCATTTAATAAATTAAATTATTTGTAACATGTATGTAATTGAATGAGAGTTTTCATTGCCTTGAATTACTAATCATTTAATAAATGAAATTATTTATAACATGTATGTAATTGAATGAGAGTTTTCATTGCCTTGAATTGTCAAACTAGCTTATATTTAAAAATATAAATGTGTACTTTAAATAATTCACAGAATATCAAAATCTTTTCTTAAGTAATTAAAATTGCAAAACACAATAAAGTATGGTTTTAGTACATAAATAGCAACAGATCTATCTACCTGACAATATACATTTGTTGAAGATTTTTCTAAAACTTCCAGGAAAGATAGTTTTTTTAATTAAAAATTTAAATTAGAATTTAAAAGCTATAGAAGCTATTTTAAGAAGAAACGCATAATAAAAATACCCAAAAAATTTTAATAAAATTTTAACAAAAGCTAACTTATTCAAAACTTAGAATTATTGATTAAATCGCCTTTTGAAACATTTTTTCAACATGATTCAAACTTTATCAATTCATACAATATTCAATTCGAATGGAAAAGGTGTGCTATAAAATTTAATTTATTCCGCGCTGCTTCAAAGAACTTCCCTAAAACTGTGGGAAAATTAAAGTTGAGTCTGAAAATTTCAATACGCACTTAAAATGCAAACGCTTTGAAGTATTCTCGTACATTGTGGGGATTAGACTTGTTAAATTTGATTAAAATACTGCCCACTACTAATACCAACGTCTCCTACCAAGGCCTAAGCCAGCAAATAATCGTAACGAATTTCCAGCTACCTTTATTATGTGTTTTGTTGTTGTTGTTGCTGTTGTTGGTGTTGTTGGTGGTGGTGCTGGTAACAACCACCCAGCTATATATACCTACATATACCCATACTGATATTTACATTGTACCGTGTTTATTTTCATGTCTGATTCACCTTTTTCCAATCCGAACCAAACCGAACCGAACCGACCCGACCTGACCCGCCCATTCAGCGATGACCGCCTGAGTCTCGATGAATTTACGCTAATCTGCCGTGCGCTGTTCCGTAACGACAAGGGACACATCTACGATGTGCCACACGAACGCCTCGAGGAGATATTTGCTGTCTTTGATACAAACAGCGATGGCTTCATTGATAGAGAGGAGTTTAAATTTTGCTGGAATCAATGGATAAAAACGGTGAGTTAACCAACAGAGACAGTCGCTTAAAAAAGGGGCAGGCAGGCGGACATCACGTGCATATTACTTTTATGATGTTGCCGCTCTCATCATCCACTATTATGAATGGCCGGACCAACATTTTTGGGTTGCTTGTTGGTAATGTCGACAGCGACAGCGACAGCCAACCATCTAGCCATGCAGCCAGTCAGTTAGTCAGTGATTCATATCCGGGGACTCATAAAATCATAAAATGTAATAATAAAATATTTGTCAACGTTTTGCAAACGCGGAAATGACAGACAAACATTCAGACAGTACACCAATAAAAAGGACACACAAATTCGCACTCATTCGTATTCGCAATCAAAGTGTCCGCGTCGGGGATTGTGTCTGCCTGTGTGCGTGTGGGTGTGTGTGCGTGTCTGGTTGTGTGTGTGCGTGTATGTGTTTGTAATTCAATCCTGATCAGGTCCTCGTTGGACGGTAAAATGTCGCTTATGGCAAATGTTACACGTCAGTCCAGACAGACAAACAGACAGACAGACAGACGCATATGGGGACTGCTTTCAACAATTCTCGCTCTGCTCGTTTCTGCTCGTTCCTTCTCGTCCCCATCCCACGCCCCTTCTGCATGTCCTCATCGTCATCTGAATTTTCTCAGTCCTGACTGGTTGTGGTTTGTCATGAGCGTATGCAAATGTGATAATCTGTCGCTGGAACACACACTAATACACGACGCACACACACCCAGCAGTGGACATTTTTCGCTCGCTCTTCCACTCTCTCTCTCTTCCTCTCTCTCTCTCTCTCTCTCTCTCTCTCTCCCTCTTTCTCTTACTGTCTGTTTGCGAGGCCGCTCCGCTCGGCACGTAAAGTGATAAAAAAGCGTGACAAATAAAATGCCACAGCACAACGTTCAGCACGAAGGAAAGGGACGGGAGGGGAAGGGAAGGGAAGGGAGGCCAGCAATGCCGTTGCATTCATTTGGTTAGCAGCCGGCTATGAAATATTAAAATAAAAAAGAATTTTTCAAATAATTTTATTGTAGTCTACAATTTTGCGCCTTCGCTCTTTATTTATTTGGCCAAGCATTATTATCATCGCGTTGGTCGTCGGCGTTGGCGGCAGCGGCAACTTTGTTGCCACACACAGTCGCTGCCATAAAATTGCGTACGTGATGTGAAAATTTTTATTCAGTTGAGGGCTGTTCGGTAACTTTAAGTTCATGGCTCCTGCTGGAACGCGTGTCGATTTCCCATCGACTTCTGCTGCCGAAGTTTTTCTGGGCCATGCTCTAATATTTGAAATTGAAATTTATTGAATCAATTCAACTTGTGTTGAACTTAAAGCAAATCACAGTTGCAGCGGTTAGATGCCTATATTTAGTACATAAAAGTATTCGCTTACGTTTGAATATGTGCTGTTAATGATTTATTGCCGCATTTCTTTCAAGCTTGAATATTTTAAGACATTGTCTCGAGACTAAGTTTAATTAAAGAAAAAAAATATTTTTTTTTTAGAAACACAAATATTATAAAAAATATATTTTATAAGAAACACAAATATTCTAATATAACAACAATTGGATTGGTCTGTAATTTTTTTATAGCAGCTTTGAGAAGTTTTGCAATAAATGTATTTTACAAAAGATAGATGGCTTGGGTAGAATTTTTTTTCATTTACTTGAATTTTAAATCGCCTGCACAGATTACTTGAAACAGGTGTGCTTGATGGTTAAAAGAGAAACAAGCATGAGAATGTCCAATATGAATGCGTTGTTAACATTTTGCTCTCTTATATCATAGTGTTTGAATTAAAAAGAATAAATGGTTTCCTCATATGGTTGCTTTCATGGTCAATAGAGTTTCGAATGCGAATTTCCATTTGAAAACTCTTTACGGCCCTTTTATAAATTTTATCTTTATTGAATTTGAATGAATATTTTCTTTCTGAATATGAATAAAGGTCTCATCGGCATGGTTTGATGTAGTCTTAATTGCGAATGCTTTATAAACCATTTGCTTAATACAAAAAACATTACTCTAGTGTATGAGTTTTTTAATTTTTCAATTTATGGTTATAAAGCAAATACAGATCTCAAGTGTTGCCTTTACACTGAAAGAGCGGTCTTCCTTTTTTGTAGCGATATTTGAAAAAAGTTATGTGCAGAATGAAAATTTAATTTCGCATTTGGGTTCAAAACTGTAACTCAATCATATAGCTTTTCAACGCCCATCTTAAAGCTGAAGTTCAATGATACTGAGCTGGGGCTTATCGATTTTATAGATTTTATTCATTCATGGCGCATATCAATAAACTGGCAAGCTCCAGTCGACAGGCTTATCGATTTTATTCATTCACATGGCATCTGAATAAATTGGTAAGTAACATTCGACAGATTGGTTTTTGATATCGTAAATAAATGGGACGTGCATCCATTTTTTCATTGAAAATGCATGCAGCAATGCAAAGCTCTTAACCGTTTGTTATTTGACATTCATTTTAGTATTTTAAGGGAAAAATGTACTGCATTCTTAACAATAATTGTATGAGAAACCAATTAAATGTTAATACGTTTATAGCTAATATAATTAGCAATCAAATTTGATCATTAATTTATTACAAACTAATGCTTAAAATCTTTATTATTTGAATAAAATAGTTGCGTATAATTTAAGGGCTTTAAAATAGCTAAAAAAGTTGTTTTCAAATGTTTTTTTTTTTTTTTTTTAATAATATGAACACAATCCATTTGGCCAACGATAATAAGGCTGTACGTTAAAAAAAGCAGCTCAGACTATAAGCCTCTGCTTATTTATTGTTAACATGTATTCTCCATTATTTATAGTTTTATGGTTTAACAAAATTCGGTTCATTTCAACCGAAATATTACGTATCCGCATATGAGCGTTGGTCTGTGTTAATGGAGCCGCATATTTTAAAAGCAATAACAACAATAACAACGACAACAATAACATCATGAGCGCAACAACACATCGTTTGTCACGCAACAAATTATTTCACAAAAATTATTTCATTTTTGATATGGCATTTAAATATTCCCGGTTGCCATTTAGCTCGCATCCTCGCCAACCCACCAAGCCCCCACTCCCCTACCTCTATTGCCCATATCGGCCCATAAACCAGCCAAAATTGTAATATTGCATAAAAATTTATTAACGTGAGGCGCAGGCTCATAAAAAAGGGAAGTGGCAGCAGCTATTCAAAAATGCTTGGTGCCCGCAGCTCGACAAAGTACTTGTAGTATTCCTCATATATATTTTAGCTCGCCAAAAAATTTCGCCCATGAAATTGACTTTTGTTTGTATTTCCGCATGAATTGCATAAATGGTAATTTTGCAGTTTAATGTTGGCAAGAGAATGAATACAATAAAAAAAAAAAAAAAATAAACGAAATTTGCATAATAAACAAATCTAACAAGCGCACGCCGGCAGCTTAGATGAATTGCGGGCTGCCTCTGAACTTTGGGGGGCCAGCAACGACGATGATGATGTTGATAATAGGTTCGGGTTTTTTGGCTCCGACCGCGTCAAATTAAATAAACGCATAAATAGAACATTAGCGCCATAAATCATTTGCATGAACATGGCCACTAAATATTTAGTGATAGTTCTCACATCCACACACATACATATGTGCACATATATATGTACAGTCGCTTGTAGTAAGAGTGATTTTGGATGCACATATGTGTCGAACCCTGCCAACATTTCGCTGAGAATTCAAACCGTTAGCATCATTACAAAATTTAATTCATATCTACCATTCCTCTTATCGACTAAAACGCATTTAATTTTATCATTCCAAACAAGCAATTTGTAAACATTTCAATAACCAAGTTTAAGATGAACGGAACTGGAATACAATTATAATTAAGCATAGCATACTTTCAGGCTGCCCTACTCGTCCTTACTTTGCACATTTAATTAACAGCAAAAAAAATTCAATAGATATTAAAAGCACAGCACAAATAAATTAAACTAACAAAGCATGCGGATGAATTAATTGAGTATTAATCGCGTCATGTTTGTTTTTTAAACCAATTAAATATTTTAAATCAATAATTAATTCGTTTGTCCGAAGGTTTTGTTTATTTTCATTTAAAATTGTTGTTGTATGTTCTAGAAATATTGTGATATATATATTTTAGTTGTGATAATATTTATATAATATTTATAATATTTATAATATGCATAATATTTATTATATTTATAATATTCATAATATTTATAATATTTATATTTATAATATTTATAATATTTATAGTATTTATAATATTTATAATATTTATAATATTTATAATATTTATAATATTTATAATATTTATAATATTTATAATATTTATAATATTTATAATATTTATAATATTTATAATATTTATAATATTTATAATATTTATAATATTTATAATATTTATAATATTTATAATATTTATCATATATTTCTAATCTTTACTAATATTTATAATAATTTATACTATTATAATATTTACTACTTTATAATATTTATTAATATTATAATTTAATTTATTATAGTCTACTATTTTTATTATTTATAATATTTTAAATTATTATTTTTTAGCTTTGTGTTTTAAAAATGTTTTGGGTAAATTGAAAATTTAATTAATTTCATAATTATTTGTATACTTAAAATGTAGATTATGTAAATATTTTGATTCATTTCATATTTTATGTTATTTTAATATATTAAATAAATAATCAAAATTATTTCAATTTTCTAATTAATGAAATATTTTTCTCATAAAGTTTAAGTAAATTTTAATGTTATTATTAAATTTTAAATTATTTCCAAATTAGAACGTATATATTCAATTCGATATATGAATATATGTATTTTATGGTTTAAATTAAAAAAGTATTTTTCGTAATTTATATTAAATTATATATTGATTTTCTTCTGCATTACAAATTGTTTGTTGGGGCATTTGGCATTTGTGGGGCAATTGCCAAAGATATTTTTGCCACAAATTTGGGCA